GCTGCTACATGCAAAGTGAAACTTTGAAAAGCAAGATTATTTATTAAAGTGTTAATGAGCATGACAGGTGGTTGTTGATGTTTTGAAAGTTATGTGTGACACCCTTTTGTGAATGCATGATGATTTACTCTGACTATGTATATAAATTTTGTGGGGTTAAGAGGGATGTTACACCTACTATGACACTTAGGATAGATGAGAGATTCCTGGGATTAGATAAGAAATCTTCTCACTTTATCCATTGTCAGTATTCTTTTCCATTTACAAGTATACCTTTATTCATTTAATTGACTATGGTCAGTTATTGAATATCGTATATTAGTTAATGGTCTTTTTGGATAATTTTATTGAAAATATGAACTTTTAGCACGACCTATCTATTCTTGTCTTTTGGTTGTCCTTTGTCACTCGTTTCGGAAATGATGGCAGTATTTATTTCTTGTCTATTCGTCATTAATTGTTTTGCGTGTCTCGAGTGTGATTACTCTTCTATCAATGGTGTTCTTTTCTTCTATTTATATCTCATCACTTCATTCTCATTCCTCATTCCTAATTATTTCTTCTTTCATACCCTCTTGACCATTTTTTTACTCATTTCACCATGTTTACCAAAACTTTCTGTTGTAATGAAGAAATCATGGAGGTCATCAATGAAAAATATCCAAATCTTCCTCACTTGAGGTCTACTGATCGTAATATCACCTTCAGCGTGAAAATTCAATGGTGGTCTAGTTACTATGCAAAGTTGCACGGACCTATATATCCAAACCTTGTAAAAGAGTTTTGGAAGTATGCTTTTGTGTGTGGCGATGGTAGTTCAATCTGTTCTAGTGTGTATGGTATTCCTGTTTTCATCATTCCTTCTTCTATTGCTGAAGTTGTTGGATGTGTTGAAACCGGCATCACTGTAGACTAGTTTCGCTTCACGTACCAGTTTGTTGAAAATCTCATCTCCATCCATGACATCTCCTCGTCTCATTATGAACCCACCAATTCTGAAAAGTTCATTCCCACTGCCAAAATCTGGTTTGATCTTCTTCTCACAAACTTCCGACCACGTGAAGTAGATAAGGATATTTTTTTCCTATGATGACAGACTTTTCATCTACTTTATGGCAAATCACGTTATGTTCAACTTGCCTCAAACCATCTTCAACTATCTGAAGGACTCGATTGCTCTCTCCAGAAGCCAACACAAGACCTTCATACCTTTTGGAAGAGTTTTGTCTGAACTTTTCTATAAGGCTGAGATCGTTGGGTTGGTTCGTAGGACTGGACCAGATAATGCTCTTTTGGAAGAGAGGTGTTAAGGTTTTAAATTTTATTTGTGTGTTGTTGGTGGCTATTTTTGTTGGATGGGTGTGGTTGATGTTGTTGTTTTTTCCTTGTGTTTGGTGTTGCTTATCAATCCTTTGCGTCTCTTTTGATTTTGCTTATGTATTCCTTTATTTTGTACTCCTTCAATCATTATGAATGCAAGTTTTCTTTGTTCTTGCATTTTTTTCTTTAATTCTTATTCCTCATTTTATTTTTCTTCTGTTCTTTATTTATTCGCGTTTCTCTAGAGAAGCGTGCTAGAACTTTTTTTCCTTTTTGATTTTTGACAATTGGGGGGGTATTTATATGATTTTGATTATATCTACTCTCAGAATCTTGAACCCGAAAATGATCATACTTATGCTTCTAACCTTGGTTGATGTTTATCTCAGGGACTTTGTAAAAGTTCACTAATTTTCTCAGACATGTTACTTAAAAAATAGAAAGTATGACAACCAGACTCTGATACTTCAGAAGTTCTGAACCTTTAGAAAGTATGTCAAGACATTCAGAAATTGATAACCCTCTAAAGACTCAATCAAAGACATGGTCATTCAAGCAATGATTAAGGCTCTAAATCTTATGATGGCATGATACTTTGCACCTTCTGGTGGCATGACCGAGATTCTGACACATGATGTGAGGCATTTAGTCTATTACTAATCAGGTTCTATTACGTCATAACATTCTGATAGTCAGTTAGGTTCTAAGATGTAGACCAAGCAGTGCTAGTCAAACTTTAATAAGACGTCAACATTGTAGTATTCCCTCTTTATTTTACCTTTTGTACGTCAAAATTTATTTTGTGAGTCTTGAACTCAGGGGGAGACTTTGAACAAGCATAAATATTTTTTAGGCTTAACAGATTCAGGGGGAGCTGGTAAGCTTAACTCTTGTACTAGTTATTTTTGGTTATTACCATGTATAAATTGTTTTATCAAAACACATGGGTTTGTCATCATCAAAAATGGGGAGATTGTAAGAACAAGATATGGTTCTGCATCTGGCCTTAAGTTTTGATGATAACTTCACATATTATCTTAGAGAATAATTTTATACTCTAACTATTTTTCTGTCTACTGTGTAGCTTTTGGTTAAACATGTTATGACTCTGATAGAAAGGCTTGTGACGTCATCAAGCTCTGAACACAACACTCTAGAAGAAAACATACGGTAGTTACAAATTTAAGTCAAGATTTTGGAATGCTTCTGATACAACGGTTCTAAAGAACATTAGTACTAGAACTTCTGATCATGATTTGGTATGATAAATTTTGAAGATTCTGAAGACTCGGAAGAATTAAATTCTGAAGTTCTGAAGATTTTCTATAGCTTCACTTCTTAAGACTTTGAAGACTCTAAAGACTCTCAAGTTCTGAAGACTCTGAAGAATTAAGTTCTGAAATTCTGATTCTGAAGACATCACCTCTAGTGTCTTAGATTCTTATGACTCAATTTTTATCTTTCTACAACATGTTTTATCAACATATATTTGAAGCCTTTGAAAGAATAGAAGTTAAAGATCAGAAATGGTTTGCGTGAGATGATAAGCATAAAAGTACATAGTACACTAATCATCCTTCTAAAATAACATAAAAACAGTCTTTTGATACGATGTTGTCTGACACTTCCACAATGACCGTTGGGGACTAAACAATTGGATTTCTATTTCTTATTCTACCCTTCAACGAATCTATTTTCAACTATAAAAGGAAGACTTGGAAAAATTGAAGAATTAGCATTCTGCTCTACAAAACTCATACTAAAACGCTGCACAAAAATCTCTTTTAAGATACACTCAATATAGTTTTATAAATTAACAATGAACTTTTGTTCATATCTTGCTATTAACATTGTTGTGTTATTAAACTTAAATATTGTGTAATTTGCTTATGTAGAAGCATTTGTGTATACGCACCTGTAATCACTTTGGATTTATGTTTCCTCAAGGGACTAAGTGTTAGACTGTATACTTGTGAGGGTTAAGGTGTTTTTCTAAACACTTAGATGAATTGTTTGTAATCTTTCAAGATTATTAGATTAAGTCCTTTTTGAAGGTCAAATCACCTTAGCGGGTGGATTATAGTAACTTAGTTAACAGTGAACTTGGATAAAAATATTTGTGTTCATTATTTTCGTTCAATTGTCAACTTTGGTATAAAAAGTTATAAAATATTATATTTGGTAAAACTCAACTCAAACCCTCATTCCTTGTGTTTCTCGCACCTTCACCCGGTCCCTTCAGTGACAAGCTCGACTCCGGAGTTCACGAATTGGATCAGAGTCATTGCATTTCCAAAGCTTATCTCGACAGCATGCAAGCCAGGAGAAGAGGAAAACTTACTTGATTTGGGAAAGCGACGAAGGTTGATGACAGTTTGGCAACGATAACGGCGGCGACGATGCTCTGCAACTCGGAGGAAAAATAGAGGGAAAAAGAAAGCAAACTTTGCAAATGTCATTCCACTTTTCCTATTTATAAGACAGTTCCACTACATGGGTAAGCGTGTCATCGTTTGGCTCATAATTACCCATATTCATAGGTCATCATTACGCATTTAATAGTTGTGATGTGTGGCTCGAGGGGACAAACCATTTGTCTCTTCGAGTCCCATCAATCTTCCGGATTCCAAGACGTCGAGCATCACTTGCCGAGCACAAGCGACAAGCTCTCGCATTCCCTCACGAGCATGGCTTCGGAGAAAAACTTGAAGCAAATTTACAAGCAACATGATAACTCGCGAGTAAAGTCAAACGCTCAACGCGAGCACAAGCTAAACTCTCTCCCGTAATCCCTACACGACGCGTCTTCCTCGTAAGCGAGATCCAACGAGTTACAAGCAAAACATTGTCCTCGTGGGCTCAAACTCACGAACAAGAGACACCCATGGCAAGAACCAGCTATGGCAACGCGAGCTCGCAATCGCGAGCCCGAATAAATGCCCCCATCGCGCAATGTTTCTTGCTCCTCCTCGACACGCGAACTGACTCTAAGTCATTGATCCTCTGCCTAGGAGCAACGACTTGGGAAGCTCCTATTCTGGACTGAACATGTGGCTGACTCACCGTCGAGCATAGCTCAATCCAATTCTATGTCGAGGACGACTCATAGTGCTAGTCTAACCCGTTGGGTTCAATGGAGAACACATTCCCCACGTGCTCCTCACTCGAGGACATGTCACCAACTGAACCCGTACACCTCGCAAAACTGTTTGTAACGGGCAAGTTCATCCACTATCCGTGGAGTGCGAAGCGATTGACCCAAGACAATGAGTACGAGCTACTCATCTCTGCTTTCACGTAGGAATGCTAGCAATTATTCGTTGTGGGCTTGAACACTCAACCCATAACGAAGACCATTGACCAAACGATGGGGGCTCACTTTAAAAACTCTCTTCTGCAGGAGGATCAGGTATTCTATTCTTTAACCCTTTCTTACTTACCACTTCGCCAAGGAGGATTTTAATGGCGAGACTTTGATGGAAAATATGCATTGCTCGTTAAATTCTAGCTCTTTTACTAAACAAAGCATGTCTCTTAAACCTACTTTTATAGACAATATCGCTTTTGCTTTTTCTTCTTGCAAGTATATGGTATGACACTTTTCTTAAAATTTTCACACTCTTCTATATAAATATTAAATACATCTTCCGGCTGAAACAGCCAGCAAAAATAAGAATGAATCAACAGGCCTCCCAACCTCCCTGAATTGAGGTAAAAGTTCCACCACCATTAGCATGTACATAATCAAGGATTGCTTCTCTAGCACAACGTTCCCACACTCTTGCTATATCTTTAATCAACAGTGGTTCATTCATTTTTCCAAGATTAAATCTCAGCTTTTCTTTTGCTCTCACAGATAGAGCATTCAGGTCATCACTGCACAAAATTCGAATTATTTAACACAATAAAGTCAACAACTATAAAACGCAAACATAATCCACCATCTATCAAGTATACCTAAATGGATGCTAATTATAATAATTTATGAGTGTTAAATGCACACTATATATCTAATATTGTGTTCATTAAATAAAAGAAAATCAATCTAAGGACATCTTCAATAGGACTTACATAGAAGTTTCTTAATAATAAAATATTTTAGTAACTACTTAGAACTAGATGCATAGTTGCTCAAAGGTATAAATGAAAGATAATAGAATCATTGTCTCTAACCTGACTTCCAATGGCAATTCGTCCAGAATAACAAGAGAGCGAGAGGGATAACTTGAAGGAATAAGCAATCGTAGCGGTTCGATCAATGACTTCAGAAGCCAATATACATAGTTAATGAGATGAAAATCAAAATTCTCAGATACAAATAGTTTGAAACTGAATATAAAATCATTCACCTTTTTGTCAGCAATAAAGTGAGATACAAGGTTCTGATTGATAGTCACTGCATTATACAAAATTTTAACAAGTAAACCTTCACTTTGATCAGTAGCTATTCCAACCGCACTTTTAGCACTTTCCTTTTCAGCGATAACCACCTCACAATCGAACAATCGATTGTTTATGTCTTTTATTTCTGCTAAAAGATTCTGATTTTCCTGCTAAAGTTAACAATGTGATTGTAAAACTCTTGGTAGAAGTGAGAAAAAAAGCAAATAACTATATACTTTTCTAGTAGATTTCAATGGTAAAAAATTCACGTTAGATTCCGCAGTGTAAGTGAACTGATTGAAACTCTCACGCATGCTAGAAGTATCACAGGTGGTTGAAACAAAGCTGCGAGGTATTTTCCATCCTATAGGAACAAATCATTGCAAGTCACAATCTTGCTAATGAAAATGCATCAATATCAAATGCAAATTAAACACTTTAGTGGCGAGGCCGCACCTCCGGGAGTTAGGAAGATTGGTAGTCCTTGTTCATCAACCATCTCTGGTTTTTCATCATTCAAATGAACCACCTCTTCAATTTCGCCAACTGCTGCACTCAGTGCTTCAGGCGAAATGGATGTCAACTGAAAGCAATATCAGATTCATATATTTTACTGCGTATCAGCACACAACTTTTATGAGTCAATGAAAACACAAATAAGGAGCAGACACAAGTTTTTAAAGCCAACCGCTCTAATCAGCTTCTGCATTGCATGACTTTGCACTTCAGTGTTGTGAAATCCTTGATTTTGATCATTGCTTTCTTTAATCAAGGGTAAAATCCTGTCAGTGTTGGTCCTTGCACCAAATGCTTCAGTTGCCAAAATCCTTGGAGCGTTATTGTTTACACCAAGTTCTTGGAGTGCAATGTTTGTGTGTTGTTTGACAGCATTGCTTTCGTTAATCAAGGGTAAAATCCTCTTGGTGTTGGTCCTTGTACCAAATGCTTCAGTTGCCGAAATCCTTGGAGTGTTATTGTTTACACCAAATTCTTGGAATGCAATGTTTGTCTGTTGTTTGACAGCATTGCTCTGGCCTAAGATTGAAATATATAGATAATAAATGTTTGCTAGCAACCTTACATAGAAGGCCATTTAAAAATCTACAAAAAAGAGTGAACTAATGGTTACCTTTTACTATTGACGATTGATTTATAATATCGTGCTGTGAACTACCAATTGGCAAATTAACTCGGTGATCTTGAGAAACCATATTGTTCTGCCAAGAAATTTGTTATTAAAGGATGTTTCTTTGCTTCTAATACTTGCGCTAGTAGTTTTGTTTCGAATATTACCGGTTGAGAAAATATAGAATTGGACGGGCCAAAAAACAGTTGCTTGGGTTTCACATCAGGTGACTGTTTCCTGTTGGGCTGCTTGTTGAGAAAATTTAGAGCGTTTCTTCTCGATACCAGATTAAAAATTAAAATAGAGCTTAGTGATTACCCTTTCATAAACATGCTCCTGCCAGTCTCCGTTTGCATCTATTTCTGCTTCAAGAAAGAACAGACATCAATGGAGACATTGCAGATATTAAATATGTCTGCAATGATCATCAGCCTAAAGAGATTGTCAGAATATTGTCTGATCAAGAAAGAACAGACATCAATGGAGACATTGCAGATATTAAATATGTCTGCAATGATCATCAGCCTAAAGAGATTGTCAGAATGTTGCTTGATCAAGAAAGAACAGACATCAATGGAATGACCAATAGCTGAAATCTTGTGGCAAGAAAATTTTAAATATTAAGAACTAAATACTTATCTAAACTCGTCAAGAACAACATTCGGACGCTTGAAAACACCAGAAAACGTAGGAGACTAAAAAATTTGATATTGAAGGTTAATAAATGTTTCCATGACCATGAAAACATTATAGAAAGCATATGTAAAACATTTCAATATGTAAAGAAGAGAATAATTCACCTGAGGCGGAAGGGATAGTGATCTCTTTTTTTACTTCAACAGTCTTCCAAGACATTGAACGAATCCTCTTTAACTGCTCTTTCACCAAACTAATGTACTCATCCTGTAAACAGATTCGGTAGTTAAGTTACTATTGTTTTCAAAAGTATTGTTTTTAAAAATTATGTAGAAATATACTTTATATTTCCTTGTATTTGATGAGAATTACATAGCAGTATTTATAGAATACATAAGGCAGAATTTGAAAGGAAAATCTGTCTTAGAAATCAGGGGAGTTATTTTTCCCATAAATACTAATTCTAATTACAGTAAAAACAGGAAATAATAACTAATTAATTACATTAGTCCTAATCCTAATGAGCTGTACAAACAGAATCATTTGATTCTATATTGATTATTCCACACTCCCCCTCAATCTGGGTGGTAGATGTCTATCATACCCAGATTGGATCTGATATTCTCGTATATGTTCCTTGGAAGGGCTTTTGTTAGAATATCTGCAGTTTGCTGGCATGATGGAATATGGTTAACTTATAATTCCATGATCAATTTTCTCCTTGATGAAGTGTCGGTCTATCTCTACATGCTTTGTTCTATCATGCTGAACTGGGTTCTTCGCAATGCTTATAGCAGCCTTGTTATCACATAATATCTTCATAGAATGTTTGGTAGGAATTTTGATTTCACCTAGCATTCGCTTAAGCCAAATTCCTTCACAAATACCTTGTGACATAGCTCTGAATTCTGCTTCTGCGCTACTCCTAGCCACAACAGACTGTTTCTTACTTCTCCAAGTTACCATATTACCCCATACAAATGTGCAGTAGCCTGTAGTCGATTTCCTGTCGGATAAACATCCTGCTCAATCTAAATCAGTGTAGACTTCAATACCTTTGTTTGAGTTCTTTTGAAAATAGAGTCCTCGACCTGGCGTACCTTTTAGGTACTGGAGAATTCTGTTAACATTTCTCATGTTAGTTTCAGTTGGATTTGACATATAACGACTAGCCATGCTTACAGCAAAACCAATGTCTGGTCTGGTGTGAGTTAGATAGATTAGTTTTTCAACTAGACTTTGGTATCTATCTTTATTAGCTGGTATATTCTCATCTTCACTCCTTTTTATTTGTTCTATGGGAGTATTGGCAGCTTTGCATCCAAGCATACCTGTTTCTTGAAGTAAATCCAAAGTGTACTTCCTTTGAGAAACTGAAATACCATTCTTTGTTCGTGCAATTTCCATCCCTAGAAAATACTTGAGCTGTCCTAAGTCTTTGACTTCAAATTCTTTGGCTAGAAGTCTCTTTAACTAGTTGACTTGTTCATCATCATCTCCCGTAATTACGATATCATCAACATAGACAATAAACAAAGCTATCTTCCCATCCAAAGAGTGCTTGACAAACATAGTATGGTCTGTTTGACATTGAACAAAACCATCTTGCTTGACAACTTTGGTTAGTCTGTCAAACCATGCCCTTGGTGATTGTTTGAGGCCATATAGAGATTTTCGAAGTCGACACACCATGTTGGAGGTCCCGAGTGATTCAAGTCCTGGAGAAATTTTCATATATACCTTTTCTTCTAACTCACCATTTAGAAATGCATTCTTTATGTCTAGTTGGTACAGGGGCCAATCTAGATTTGCTGCCAGAGATAGTAGAACCCGAACAGAATTGAGATTCGCAACAGGTGCAAAAGTCTCCTCATAATCCACCCCATATGATTGTGTGAACCCCTTAGCAACCAACCGAGCTTTGTACCTATTTATACTCCCATCAGCATTGTACTTAGTTGAAAATATCCACTTGCATCCTACTACTTTCTTCCCTTCTGGTATAGCGGTGATCTCTCATGTGCCACTTCTTACAAGTGCTTGAACTTCTTCTGTTACAGTTGCTGCCCATTCAGCTTTCTGCAATGCTTCTTGAATATTATTTGGAATTTCTATGTTGTCAACAACTGCTACAAAGGACCTGTAACTTTGTGATAGTTTTCTATAGGAGATATATTTTTCAATAGGGTGTTTAGTGCATGTTCTAACCCCTTTTCTCATAGCAATAGGAATATCCATATCTACTGTAGTTGTAACAATATGTTCAGAGTTAGGGAGAATATTACCGGTGGGAACTTCATTTTCTAGAGCTTGGTTGGACTCATGGCCTTGCATTGGAGCTATACTTGACTCTCCTTCCTTCCTCCTCCTTTTATAAACCTTTCAATCACCTGTTTTTGGATCACAATTCTGTTGAGGTGTGGTTGAGACTATAATTGGTCCGGTTTCCGTCACAGCTTCTGTTGTCCTTTCACTCGGCTGAATGTTAGAGGTTTGGTTTAGTAATTTTTCAGCTGGTTTAGGCATAGGTTCGGCTGATTGAGTGTTACCGGTTTGGTCTGGTAAGATCTTTCCATGTTCGGTTAGTTCAAGAGGCAAAAGTTGGTATTCTGAATTTTCAATACGATGTATGTATGATTGCTCCCCTTGAATACCAGTTTTGGTGTAATAGGGCTGATTTTCAAAGAAGGTTACATCCATAGTGTGGTAAAAATTTTTGGTATGGGGAGAGTAACACCTATAACCCTTTTGGTGAGGAGAGTAACCAAGAAAAATGCATTTGATGGATTTTGGGTCCAATTTGCTTCGGTGAGGGTTGAGGTTATGGACAAAAGTTGAGCATCCAAATATTTTTAATGGAATAGAGGAAAAGATTTTGCTTGTTGGAAATAGGTTTTGAAGTGTGGAGAGTGGGGTCTTAAAGTTAAGGATACGGGAGGGCATTCGATTTATAAGGTGAGTTGCTGAAAGGACAGCTTCTCCCCAAAAGTGTTGTGGGACATTTGTGGCCAACATGATTGATCTAGTCACTTCCAAAAGGTGTCTATTCTTCCTTTCTGCTACTCCATTTTGTTGGGGAGTGTCCACACACGAACTTTGGTGAACAATTCCAACCTTTTGAAGATAGGAATTTAGAGCAAGGTTGTAATACTCACGACCATTGTCAGTTCTAAGTATTTGAATATTGCTTTGAAATTGTGTTTGTACCATCTTATGATAAATTTCAAATATTCTCCATACTTCTGATTTTTCCTTCATTAGAAACACCCATGTAACACGTGTTTGATCATCAATAAAGGTGACAAACCATCTCGAGCCAGTAATGTTGTGGACTCGTGATGGTCCCCATACATCACTATGAATTAATGAAAAAGGTTTGGATGGTTTATAGGATTGGGGTGGGTAATGGTTTCGGGTATGTTTAGACAATTGGCAGATTGAAAATGTTCCTTGTTTTTATTGAATAACGAGGGAAAAATCTTTTCCAAGTACATGAAATTTGGGTAGCCTAATCTATAGTGCCACATCATTACAGAATTATTATCATTTGAAACTACAGCTGCAACATGATAGTTATTATTGAGTTTTTTCTCTGATTTTTCCACTTGGAGGAAGTAGAGTCCAACACACTCTTCAGCATTGCCAATCGTCTTCCCCGACTCCAAAATCTGAAATTCTCACAAGTTAGGGAAGAATTTAGTAACACATTTCAAATCTTTTGTAATCTTGCTAATGGACAGCAAGTTACTATCAAGTGTAGGCACATACAAAACAGAGTCAAGAGTAATATTTGGTGAAATTATAATTGATCCTTTACCCATGATCTTAGAATGTGTACCATCGGCTATTCAAACGTTATAGTTATAGGGACATGGAGAATAACTATAAATAGGGTGAAATCTCCAGTCATGTGATCTGAAGCCCCTGAGTCAACAATCCATGATTTTGTTTTTTCTTTACTAGTGTTTAGAGCATGTAAATAATTACCTCTTTGAGCCACTACAGCAGTACCACCTTTTTCTACGGTTAACATAGTTTGCTGAAGGAGTTTTTGAAGAGCCTCCATTTGTTCTTTGCTAAAAGGAGATGAGTTAGAGTATACCTCAGCTTCTTGGTTGTTAAATGCTGTATTACCTCTGCCCTCCTTGCCTTTGAACAATTTGGCCTCCGAAGGTTTTCCATGTATGATCCAACATGTTTCCTTTGTGTGGCCTCCTTTGTGTGGCCTGTTCTCTTGCAGTGATCACACCAGGGGCGGTTTTTCTTTTGTGATGGTCGAGGCTGATTCCCCCTTGCTGCCATTGCAGAGCTCTCGCTGTACGAAACTGAGTTGGGTGTCCCCAACATGATTTTCCTCCTGCTTTCTTCCCTTCTCACTTCTGAAAAGGCTTCTCGAATTTTGAGAAGTGGTTTGGTTCCAAGGATCCTTCCACGAACTTCATCTAGGTCCTTGTTTAGTCCCAATAGGAGTTTGTAAATCCTATCTTTTTCCACCAATTCCTTATACTTCTTTTTATCTTCTGTACAACACCATGTAACCTCTTCATATATGTCTAGTTGCTGCCAGTGTTTGTTAAGTATGTTAAAATACTCGGTAACAGAAGATTCTCCTTGTCGAAGGTCATGAAGAATGTTTTTTATCTCAAATACGACAGATGTATTGTCAACATTTGAGTACGTTTCCTTCACTGCATCCCATATCTCTTTTGGAGTGTCATAGAACATGAAATTTTCACCAATTTCATTTTTCATGGTATTGAGCAGCCATGACATTACTTGGTTGTTCTCAAGTTTCCATTTCTGAAAATTTTTGTCTCCTTCCGCAAGACATTTAGAATCTCCCGTGGTGTAGCCTTCCCTTCCTTTTCCTTCGAGGAAGATCTTGACTGACCTTACCCATTGGGTATAGTTTTGACCATTTAATTTATGGTCTGTGATGAGGTGAGTGATCCCTTCGTGTGAACTGGTCGGAAATGATCCAGTCTCCACTTTGAGCGATTCATCAGATTTAGGATCCTCCATAGTTTGGCGGCGCTAGGTTAGGGATGGTTCAGATCGTGCTCTGATACCATGTAGAAATATACTTTATATTTCCTTGTATTTGATGAGAATTACATAGCAGTATTTATAGAATACATAAGGCAGAATTTGAAAGGGAAATCCGTCCTAGAAATCAGGGGAGTTAATTTTCCCATAAATGCTAATTCTAATTACAGTAAAAACAGGAAATAATAACTAATTAATTACATTAGTCCTAATCCTAATGAGTTGTACAAACAGAATTATTTGATTCTGTATTGATTATTCCACAAATTATGATCAGAGACTTTATATGAAGCAGAAGCTAGTATAATTGCGAAAAATACTTTGTATAAACAAAGGCAGTTTTTTTTTTTAAAACTACTCAAAGTAGCTTCTTAATATAATCAGAAATCTAATTCTTTTCAAAGGCTTAAACAAAAGACACTTTCAAGTTTTCAGAAAGTAGCTTCTAAATATGATCATGTCATGTTCGGATCAGTTGCACAAGCGGTATACATGCCTGACCGAACCAGTTATGTGTCAGGTTCCCAAATAAACTAGTTTGACCCGCCGGTTCGGTCCGGTTTTCAAAACTATGGCCATATATTGCACACATAAGCTTAAAGATGATACCTGGGTTTTAGCAGAAGCATTCACATTTGCCTCAAATCGTATTACCTCAGGTAACCTAAGTTTTACATTGGGAGAACCTTGCTTGGTTAATTCACCCGTGCTGCAGCAATTGTATTACATTTAAAGAGATGGGAGCGTGTCAGAATATTGAAGAGCTTCATAAAAGTTATATACATAAATTAAAAGAGAATGCCGCAATTTGAATCATATTCTTGTGTAGGCAATGTTTCTTACATGGCCCTTAAAACCCTTCTCCGAGACTCTTTTGTTCTCCAACTCTTGGTCGCAATGTTAGTGACCTGGTTACCACTATCCATTTTGTATGAGAAATACTCAAATTTGACCTGAAATTCATAAAATTTCGTGAGAAAATAAAAAATCGGAGAGCATTTACTATGAACTCTAGTAACCTCTATAACAGTTTCGATGCAATGTAGTAATATTCTCAGCCAACAAAATATCTTAAATTTAGTATGTTCAATCGAAGAGATACAACAATGATATTTGATCAAGTAAAACAAGGGTTCAGCATTCATCAAACATAAAAATCAGATAATACAGCAGAAACGAAGAATTTTATAGTACAGCTTCAACATCACTATGATATATGCAAGAAAGTTGTCTGTTTCACTATATATAAACTAGTTTATACCCAAGATACTGAATGTGAAATTCATAAATAACTCAGTAAGAGAAAATATTTTCTGCATTTAATTATGACCGAAACAACATTGAAGAACGAAAAATATTTAAATATTAAAATAAAAACAAAATTATGTGCAAGCCTCAAACAAGCAAAAACTAGATACATGGTAATCAATCATTTTACATGATTAGAAAGATCCCAACACCAACTAATCAATCATTCAATTCCAAATCCAAAAAAAGAAACTAATTTTTGTAACCACCACAAGATTTGATTTTACATGATTAGAAAATTCACTATTCATGCAATGCATTAATTCACAAATAAACATATTCAAAATCTTTAACAACTTCAAAATCTAATTACGAAATTCAAAAGCCATGCACTGCATCAATTAACATATAAACATATTCAACGATCAATCAAGAACAAGAAGAATCAGTATCAAGAATCCATAAATAAAAATAAAAAGTGATTAAAAACCAAATACACACGCCTTAATCACGCACAAAGAAGAGAAAAAAGATTTGTGAGAGTGTGTTAGTTGTTACAATCGAAGCTTTCAAAGACACTTGAATAGTGATGTCACTTAGTTTAGCAGGGAACGAAAAAAAAAGCGTTATATAAACACACGCGCGCGCCACTGAGTTGGCGGTTCAAATAAACGCACAACTCAACATAGTGAGGGACGTATCTGCAATTTAAGTCTATTTAATGACCAATCTGCAATTTCAATCATTCAATTAATAATTTCTCAATTTTAATTTGTAGTACTCAAAGTTTTAAAATTTTGAATATTCGACTCAATCCTTAGGTTTGAAAAACAAAAAGTACTCACCATTTGCATGTTGTTGGTGCAATTCACCATTTCCGAGGCAACGTATGCGCTACAAACTGTTTACTCTGGCCGCGTCGCCACCACTGTAGATCTCCACTCCCGATTCGCGTCGCCGGCGCTATGCTGGACGTTCCATTTCCTCCGTGCTTGCGACGTGTGCTGCAGATTGGAGTTTGTAATTGTACCTCGCAAGACCGTCGCAGATCGGCATCTGGTTGTGCCACCATTGTCGTCTCCGTGCGCCACCAATCGTCTGTTCCATGCGTGTTTTTGTTTTCCTCTTGCTGCGATTCTCCCGCGTTCGTTTCTGGGTTAGGGTCCGATTTTGTACATTTCAAATAATTACAAAATGTGTATTGACTTTTAAGTTATTTGGATAAACTCGTCTAAAAAATGTAAAATTCATTAACTTAATCATTGTTAATTATTTTGTTCAATATTAATATATGTTTTTTTGAATAAACATAATTTACCATATAAGAACCTTCTAACCTCTAGAAAATACCTTCATACATTTGCTTCCTTATCTTACATAATGCCACTTTAACACACTTCATGTAATTTCTTGCCCTCACCATTACTTTCTATCGATTAGTTATATTGCAATCATGTGAATTTGCTTGCATTCACGTCATTGTTACTTTAGCAAACTAAAGTAGTCAATTCTTCTAACTATTTGTCCCAAATTCATTGCAACAATGAGGCTTGACACACTTCCCCATTTGTCACTTCATTGATGCTTTCTTCTTCTGTTTTTTCATACCCACTCTCTCACTTCAGTTTTTTTCTCTTTACAAACTCATCTTTAGTATTCTGCTACTATTCGGAAACCACCATCATGCGCAACCACTGTCAGGATGGCGAGACCGTTTGAGATGATAAACGACATCAACGACAAAAAACAGTTGTGGAAGCTAGCTGTGAAAGTACATCACAAATGGAAGGTCACGCCAGCTACTAAAAAATATTTTGAAATGCTTGTCGCTGACAAACGGGTGATTTGTTAAGCTTCTAAATCTTTGCTATATTTTGTAAGTTTTGTATGTTTAACACATGTTTGTGTCGTTTTATCATACACACAAACAGACTTATGCTAGGTTTGCTTCGTTTTACATGTTGTGAGTTGTATTTTTCTGAATGATGGTTAGTGAATCATGTTTCCTAAACCATGTATTGCCAACCATGTTTAGATCACTGTGATTTAGAATACATGTAGTTGTTTACTGTGTTTCAACTTCTATGTTTAGGATTGGGGGAAAAATAACACCATGTATGTTGTTGGATTATTTTCAGGGCCATGATATTCATGTCATTGTTTCCACTATGTTTAGACAATCGTTTGACTCTGCATTATTGGTTGATGTGACCTACACCATGTCTAACTTTCAAGTTCTGCCTAATGACTTGCTATTTCGACCTTCAAACCAAAAATATATTCTGAAGTTCACTGGTGGGACGACTATCAGAGATGTTGGAAAACACGACATCCCTGATAAGATTTGTAACTTGACCCCGTTTGCTGATATCATTTTAGAAAAATGGCAGAGGAATCTCCTAACTGGTAAGTTGACGAACCATATTTTCTGCATTTTTCCTTATTGTCTGATTTTTTTTCCAATTGCTATTGTATGTTTCTTTTAGATGTCATCTAGGTGGTGGACGAAGTTGGCTACTCGCAGTCTTAGATGGGTGGAAGAAAGCACAAGTGAATTTGGTTTTGAGGGATTTAGGGTGAGTTACATTATTTAACATATATTCTAATACAATATAGCCTGTAACTATCAACGTCTCTCACTTTTAAGGAAAACACCTTGCACTGTATATTATAGAAAAGCTATGCGACACAGTTTCAGGAGTTCAGACACAAACAATCAGATCCTTCTTCCCCTATAATTATACTTCTAAAGTTTGCTAAAGTTAAAGAATGAGGTGATTAACTACTGTGTATCATTGTAATTATGGTATACTTTTGTATTTTACAAAACCATGTTTCTTATTTGCTCAGCTCTAATTCCATTCTGTGTTTGTAGGTAAATGGTGTAACGCCCCGATTTCGATTATTACCATTTTGTTGAGTCTTTCATTTAAATTGAGTGATAATTATTTTATTTGTGAAATTGGTGTGTTAATATGATATGTTGACATGTTATGATATTTTACCGTTTTTTAGAGTTTTCGGGAAAATTAGAATGGAGGGTATTTTGGACATTTATCATTTAATGATAAGTTAGAAATTTAGTGGAAATAGAATTATGTGAGAAATTTAGTAAAATTGGTAGAAAAGTGATTAAGTGTAGAATGATGTGAGAAAATGAATTAATTAAATTTGTATAAAAAAAGATAAGAAGAAATAGGAGAGAAATAGAAAGAAAAGAGAAATAGAGAGAAAAAGGAGAGAAAGAAAGAGGAAGAAGAGAAAAGAGAAGAAAATGAGGAAAAACTTGGAAATCTTCAAAACAACTTTTAGGAATCGATTTAATCAGGTAAGGGTGTGAAATCTTATTATCTCATCAATGTATATCATTATGTATGTGTTTGCTTGGATGTTTTCTTGTTTTCCATAGCTTGAGTTCTAGGTTGAAATTGAGATTTTTGTGAGGAATCGATGTTTTTACGGACGAAAGTCTGAATAGATTGCATAGTTGTGTCGGGTAATGTTAGGTCGTGATCGAGTATGCTTGTTTTATCGAATTTGGTTGATTTTGTAAGTTTTTGCATTTTTGGAGATTTGAGGGTTTAAGATTCGAATTGAAATCAAAAGTCGTAGATTTCACCTTTGATGGTTCTAAATCACTACTATATATTTGGTATGAATGAGTATGTGTTTGTTTTGAAGAAAATGATTGAATCGGTCGGATTTTCGGGCAAAAATGCTCAAAGTCGTAGCAGTCTTTATGCAGAAAAATTATGTTTTAGAAAAACTTCGAAAATTCATAACTCTTGAACCGTAAGTCGGTTTTGACCCCCGCTCGGAGCGTTGGAAAGAGATGCTCTTTCTAGGAAAAATGGTTTTGAGGCCTGTACCTGGTTCAATTATGGCAGAAAATTGAAAACGTATCGTTGTGTTAATTTTTACCGTAGTGAATGTGTGCAATTGATGTGTTATCGTGCAGTATGTTTTTGTTATATAACGTATAGCTTGTGCGTGTTGTTGTACGATGTGTTGTGGGCAGCCTTATGGAGTGAATCCTAGATTATGGAATTTATTGTGAATTGTGGCCTTTTGGCAAATAAATGCATTGTTTAAATTAAATGTAAATGCATGTTAATTGTGAAAGAGTTTGTTGTCGTTTAGGTGGTAAAGCGATGCTCGTTGCCGTTTGGCGTAATTGATGTGAATGTATATAGATTATATGTGATAGTATGAGATGAATGCATGAATAAATTGTGAATATGTATGCATTTCAAGAGTGTCTTGAGTCATTTTGTATGTGAAGCATAATGGCGTACATTCTTGTGTTTTGTGATTCTAATGAGAATCCGTTGTAACATCGTGTGTGTAACGCCCGTTCTTTTTAAATTAATTATTTATGAATTGTTGGTGTGCCTTTATGGGGGAGTGTTTCTGAGAGCGTTGGTGGGTGTTCTTAAAGTATAGGAAACCATTTAATAAATATAGAGTTTGATAATATAATATGATTAATAATAAGGATAATTTAATAACTAGTAGTAATATTATATTACTATTATTATTATTATTATTATTATTATTAGTGGATGGAATAAGAGAAGGAAGTTATTAGAGAAGTTGTGGGAGAAAGAGGATTAACACGATAAACTGCTCAGAAAACCGAAATTGAGGAAAAAGGTTGAGGAGAAGAGAAAAAAGGACGTGGCTGTGGAGAAAGGAAGAACAGAAGAATTAACCGCTGGAGAGAATGGAAGATAGTTGCAGAAGAGTCACCAGAGAGCAGAACCAGAACCGGAAGCTTGGAATTGGCCTCTATTCAAGGTAAGGGTGGGGTTCAATTCTATAACTGTGGGTATGATCGATTTCATGTAGGGAATTGAATCATAGGGTTAATGTTCTCGTAGTAATTTTCCCGTAGTAATTTTCCCATAGTGATGTTCCCGTAGTGATGTTCCCGTAGTAATATTCCCGTAGTGACGTTCCTGTAGTGACGTTCCCGTAGTAATATTCCCGTAGTGATGTTCCCGTAGTGATGTTCCCGTAGTGATGCTCCCGTAGTAATGTTCCCGTAGTAATATTCTCGTAGCAATGTTCCCGTAGGTTGAGAAATATTAAGGGTTAATGTTTGTCTACGCCTGAATTAGTGTTTATGTCATTAGTTCTATGTAATAATGTTGGGAATCGGCGCCGACACGAGCTTAGTTCCCATTTGTTGAGAAAAGGTTGTTATTATGCTCTTACTTGATCGAATTCAGGTAGGAATCGAATCATAGATATAGTTTCCGTTAATCGATAAATGTTAGAGACGAGGTTTGTCTGTGTAGGAATGAAGGTGTTATATCGTTAGTTTTGCACGATGATGTATGGTTTCCCTTAATGAAGCAAGAGCAGTTGCCCCGTAGTTAACGAACCTTTTCAGAAACTATAATTAATTTAGTGAGTAAAAGTTGTAATGTTGTTCTTACGAAGATAATGATATTGTTACTGTCCCCATACATGAACAGATTGAGATGATGAGTACTTGATGCATATGAAGTTGTTATGTTATTGTTGAGAAAATGTTATTATAATATTCTCATTTGATTATGTTGATAAGTTGTAGTTATATGATGATGGGTATGCCTCTGTTATGGACGAATTGGTTGTAGGCCTAAATGCCTTGTTGAATTAGTTGTTGCGGTTATGTTGTAGTCCATAATAGTTGCATTTCATGGCATATCATCTTGGTTGGCCTGTATTGGCGATTGGCTGGCCTGTATTGGCGGCCCTTAGTGGAAAATTGTTGGCCTGTATTGGCAGCCCTTAGTGGCAAAATTATTGGTTGTGCCTGTATTTGGGCATTAATGGCAAATTGGTACCACATGCATATGCACAATTGAGTCGCATTTGTTGAGTTGCATTGTTGAGTTGCTGAATTGTTAATGCTAATTGCCATGGATTTTGAATACCGAATTATTGCGGTCTATTATGGATAATATTTTGCGATCTGTTGGAAGAATAATGTTGTGATAATATTCTGACATGACTTTTATCATGCCTTATGTTATATTGTTGATATCTCACCCTTTACGTTGTATGTTACCTCCGTTGGTGGTAATTTGCAGGTAACTCGGAAATGAGTGTCGTTGTTCGTTTAAGGTCGTTGGTCGCTCTGATACGTAGCACTCTTGGGGGGATGAACGCTTAATGTTATTGTTTTCAATTGTTCCTGTTGTTGCTGAATTTTATTAAGCACTTTTCTTTAATAAATTGGTTGCTTCTAATAGTGTCAAATGTTGGTTGTATGCACTAGACCGATGAATCGGTAGTAATGATTTCGTGTCCGAGAACTAGTTGTTTTATGAATTGATGCAAGATAATTACTTGCTGAATTTTTATGGAATTTGGTTATATTGAATGGTTGGAAGTATATTATAACATGTCGTTTTATGATTAAAATGTTAAACAAATTATCGTATGTCTATTCATCCGAATCTGTGCTACGTATGTTATTAAATGATCTGTTGCAGGCGTCTGTTGTTGGTTAAGTTGAAACTGTGACACCTCTGATGCATCCCAAAATTTGTGAGTGTGACAGTTGTCACAGCTCCATGACGCTCGTCATGACCACCACGGTTGTGACATCCATGACGGTCGTCATGAAACCTTCTTTTTGCTGCACTCTGATTGTTTCTATTGTTTCTCTTATTTTTCCGCGAGAGTTTAGAGTGGGGTGTTACAATTGGTATCAGAGCAGGTCGGTCCGTCCGACCAAGTTGTCTAATGTTGTTTGTCCCCTTGTATGCGACATGTGTGTGAAAACACTGTCGGTACATGTTTGTTGTCTAACCTTTGTCCGCAGAAGTGAGAATGATTCAAGTGGGGCAGAAGTTTGTGCTTCTCCAGGATGCTGCAAGTGTGGAGTTGTAGCTCGGTGTATGGTTGAACGCTCCTATAGTTTGATAAGGATGGCTTATACCCCATCATGGGATGGACGTGTCTTGCAAGCTTAGATGGCATGAGCAGTGAATTGTCTTGGGTTAAGCTAAGTGCCTAAGAATTGTTTTGACGAGTCGGCGCAGGACAATGTTGAGGTGTTTAACTTTGATGGGAATTTTGAGTTGTAATGAAAGTGGGAAGTTGGCGATTTGCCGATTAATTGTGGTTGTCTGGAAGTTAGCCTGACAAGATAGTGATATACAGCCAGAACGTGAAGTGGTGTTGTGACCGACTTAGTTACGGAAACTAGTCCGAGAGTGAGAGCTCCATATTCTATGTCTGTTTGGATGGTCAAGGAATTAAACTGATTAAGCAGTATTGAGACTCGTGTCTGGTGTGTGTGCTAAGGCAACAGAGTGTGAGGTCGAGTATATTAAGAGTGGGCAGTGGCTTCTGATGATTATTAAAGAAAGTAAGATGTGGAATGCAATATTGGTACAATTAGACCTTTAAATATTCCAAGAGTTGAAGATGTGTCGAATGTCCTTCTAAGTGTGAAATTGTTGTCGTACGTCAGATTCCGAGATCGCAGCTTTTTACGGA